TCTGATTGAAGGATCAATCTTTCCTTGTTGTCTGGGGAACACTCGGCATATAAAGATAATATTTATGATGCTACCTTGCAGTATTTCCTGTTAAAAATGGAATTCTCTGTTAGTTAAATTACTTACCCTGAAAAAAAGTGAAGCTACTAACTGAATTAAGTGTCACTCAAAAGCAGTTTCTTGGCTTTTTCTTACACAGCGGGCAACTTTTCTTTTGAATTCTCCATTTCTATCTTCCCTCCATTCTTTCTGTAAATTAAAATACAGATTTTGAAAACTCTTTAAGACATGCATTATCTCATCAACCTCTGAGAAAAATACCTATTATTTGCTTATATTGTTTAAGAGAAAAAAATAATGTGTCATCTTAGCAGACAATTTCAGATTAAACATACATTTAATGTATAGCTTGCTGAGCAACTTCATAGTAAGCATAATTTGCAATTCCATCTTGAACAAATATACATTCTCTGTTGGGATTATTCTGTACCCAGAGTTCTATCTGGTTATTTATTTATTACATTTATATAGCCACCGACCTGATGGGACGGGTAGATGTAACCAGGCAGAGGTGGTCCCTCTGATTCTCTCAACATATGGGTAGCAAGACTATGGAGCAATTTTGTTTTGCTAGATTAACACGCTACTGTATTTTAGTTTAAGCCTATCTCTTTTATTAAGAGAATGTTTACTACAGAAGAAATCTGCTAGTCAAGGACCCAAACTACAGTAATTATTAATTTCTTTTAGCAATGGTAGGAATACATTTATTACAAGAGTCATACCGCTGCATCAACATTAGCAGGAGAATCGCCGTTGGGATCTGCCAGCATAGAAATTACACTAATCATTATGGTTTCCACTGTATGAATGGGAAGCCAGCGTTCTTCAGGTTTCTCATAGCCATACTTGTCTTCACCAGGTTCATGAAGGATGGAAATACAGACATCACCATTTTTGTCAACTACCAAGAAAGAAGGGGAAAATCATTCAGAGGCATAGTGTAGTAGCAAAGATATTTCAGATAACAGTGCAAAGATGAGCAGGGGGGCTAGTTCTAAGTCATGATTCTTAAACCCATCATGCTACTATTATGGAGTGTCACAGTGTGATGGGGTTCTTTTTTGAACTGGAGGTGTATTGTTTTCCAAGGGTGGCAACTGATAGAGAAAAACCCGACAGTGAAGGCTTTTATGCTTTTTACTATATACAGTGATGTTATTTACAGCAGGAATTTACAACAGGTATATACAACACAATATTGGCGTTCACCAAGTGTCAGGTTTCCTCTTAAGTCTCCCTCCCAGAGACTATCCCCCTTCTATCATTCCTGCTTCCTCCCCCTTTCTCTCCATCTCCCTCTCCCATTTCTGGGCTTGACAAGAGACAGAGTGAAAAGAAAAGAATGGGCTACAATTTACTGTAGTGTGCTCAGCATGGCATGATCTCCTCCTGGAACTGCTCAGCCTAATACCTACTGCTTCTTTGCTGGGGAAAAAACCTCTTTCAGGGTCTTCTGCCCAGTCCTTCCCCAGAGACCAGGGTTTCTCTCCCAACAGCCTATCTCCACCTTCCCCTCTTGGGTCTTGGCTGATGCCACCGCCTGTAGCCAGCCAGGTCCCTCCATCCCATTCTTGGGTCTTAGGTGGAACTCTTGTCCCTCTGGGTCTCCACTTCCCTTCTTCCAGGAAGCTACCCCTGGACCTTTCTTCTCCCTTCCTGACTGAGAACAGACAACTGCTCTGCACACTTAGCTTCTTCTCCAATTTTCTCTCCAGCCACTCCATTCATCCATTCTGTACAGACTTTTTCTCTCCTCTCCCTCTCTCCAATTTTTAGGTTAGACTGACAGCACGTCCCCCAGCAACTGAGGAGGTGGGTGTCTCCCCAGGGTTCTAGTCCCCAACATCTATATACCAATCTG